AAAAAAAAAGCAATTGAAAATAGCACTTTTATGATGATTATCGTTATGATTATTATTATTATTATTGTTTTTATTAACTAAATGTAGAAGTATAATGTTGATCGTTATGTTTTGAAATGAGATTAATATAAAAAAATAGAAGTAATTGTTGAACACTTGAAATTTTATCCAATATATTAATCTTCTTATCTAATAGATAAGAAATTATGATTGAATGAAAGATCAATGATCACGACAAACATCTGTTTCATCACAATGAGTTTTCTCAATTATTAAATTTTCATCTCTTGATGTAAATCATAAATAAATAGTCTGACAAATTGTACAACAAATGATTGAAAGATTTGCTTCTAACTACAATGCAAACTATTTCATTCAAATAAGGTCCCCAATGAACTATCACATGATCTAAATAAACTTTTTTTTTTTGGATTTGAAATCAAATATTCTTGAGAACATATTGCTTCTATTTCACTTATTGATTTACTGTTAATCGATAAAAATTTTCTTCATAGAACTTTCGATTCTACATTACATCCAAAATCAATAATACAATTCATAAATCGTTTTATTTTTATATAAACACTCTCTATGAAAGTATGTATATATAACAAGAAAACAGAATTGTCTAAGTAAAATATACAGCTTGATTAATAAAAAAAACTGAAAGCTAGATTAAATCGTATTCTGCTTGTGTATCAATATGTAATGAGATGCGAATATATCTGAAAAATGGACTTGTCTATGCGGTTTGTTTACCACCGGTTACTAAACAAAAAAAATAATATTTAATGAATAAAAAATAAATGGGATAAACGTACCGGCCAATATTTCACTAAAATAAAGAAATGTCGTTTAAATGAATTATTTTAAGAGAATAAAATTAATATGACTTACCCTGATATGTATGATGAATCAGTTCCTGCAGCTAAGAAAACAAATGCTGGTGCTAATTCTCTTGGTTGTGCTGGTCGTTTAATAGGATAGTTTGAACCGAATGCGGCATTTTTTTCTTTTGGAAATGAAGCGATAACTAATGGTGTCCAAACCGGTCCAGGCTAAATAAATAAAGAATTTAATTAATAAAAATTATCAAATAATAATATGATTAATTTACAGCGACACAATTAACTCGAATGCCTTTTTCTAAAAGTTTATCAGCTAAACCTTTTGTGAAACCAACAATAGCGGCTTTTGTTGTTGCATAATCTAAGATTTCAGCTGATGGATCATAACTATATTATAAAAATATAATTTATTATACATCAGAACTTTGTTTAATATAATTTACGCTTGAATTGAGCCAACATTGATGATGCATCCACCTTTTGGAATATGTGGAACAGCTAATCGAACTAAATCGAACACTTTAATAGAAAAATAAAAACAACATAATTTTCATTTTCTTTATTGGGTGTTAGAAATTACTGGCAATAATATTTGTTTTAAATGTATATTCTACTCGTTTATGATCAAGTTCTTGAATATCTTCCTATATAAAAATATCCTATAATAGTCTCATAAATATTATAAATCCGAAATAAACTTACAACTTGTTTTCCTTGATATGCAGCATTGTTTACTAAGATATCAATTCGTTTAAATTTCGACACTGCAGTATCAACAATATATTTGCATTGTGTTTCCTAAATGTACATAGTTTTTACTGACATTTTGTAAAGAAAATATTTTTACTTACTTCACTAATATCACCAGGCTAAAAAATAAGAAATGAAAAAACAGATTAATATTTTAAAAATAATCGAGATCTTACAATTATGATACATTCTCGGCCAGCTTCTTCAACAGCTTTTTGAATTTCTTGAGCATCTTTATGTTCATTTAAATATGAAATAATGATTGTTGCACCTTCGCGTGCATATGCGAGAGCAACAGCTCGGCCAATACCGGAATCCCCACCTTAAGAGAAAAAATCAATATAATATGAAGTCTAAAACAATTCAATGTTCTTACCAGTTATGACAGCTACTTTATCTTGAAGTTTGCCGGTGCCTTTATAACTATCAAGACCATAATCTGGAAGTGGATCCATTTTATATTCCTCACCAGGTGAGTCTTGTGTTTGTGGTTTAAATTTTGGTTGAGGACCAGCCTAAATTAATCAAGTTAATTGAGCGAATAAATATAAACAAAAGCTACCTTCGTTGGATCACCATTAAGATCGTATTTAGACATGTTAAAAGGATGTATTCAGAAAGTAAAAATTCTAAAATATGAAGCGGAATAAAACAGACGCTGTGCTCTTTATACGGGTGCAAAGAATACGCTCGTGTCCATGTACACGTGCATACAGTAAAGTGGCGACAAATATTTAAGCTTATAATATGATTGGTTCTGATACAACAATCAATGAAATTTTATCTTGAACGTTAGACGTCTGTTCGGATTTATATTTTCAAACTTACACCATCATAGTGTAATATATATTTCAATCTGCCTATTGCCTTTATATAATAGTCGTATTCGATCATTTATCTTTGTCATAATTCTGATATCAAGTATCTTCTTTCAGAATGGCCACCTATCAACTTTATCGCAATACAACATTGGGTGTTACATTACAAGACACTCTTGATGAAATGATTTCGGTTGGGAAAATTTTATTTATTATCAATAGAAACATATATATGTATTTTTCTTTTTCTATAGCAAGGTCAATTAACTGAACTAGCTGCTAGTAAAGTTTTAAGTGAATTTGATCGATCAATTAATGTCGCACTTGATAAACGAATTAATAAAAAAGTTCAATTTTCTGTAAATTAAAAATTCTACTAAATAAATTATTCATTATTTGTTTTTTTCTTAGGGAAAATTAAGCACATATCGTTTTTGTGACAATGTTTGGACACTGGTTCTAAAAGATTTTTCTGTTAAAGAAAGTAATAATCCAGGTGGACATGCTACAAACACTACAACTTCACAAATACCTAAGGCCGATAAAGTTAAAATTGTTGCATGTGATGGAAAAAGTATGAATTTTTCTTTATTATAATTCAACAAACAAGAATATTTATAATTATTTTTTTTTCTTTAGGTGCTCTGCAATCTTAAAATAATTTCTATAACATTAATTTTGATGTATACGTCATTTTTTTGTATATTAATACTCATCGAAGTTCTTTTTCTTTTTGGGATATATAAAATAAAGAATGGATTTTGTCATCTTTCAGATGTCGGAATATAATGATATTGCTGGAAGCGAAGATATTATTTCACTTAATTTTGAAACTCAAGATACATTCAAGTATATGATTTCATTTTGATGTTGTTTTTATTTATTATCGAAATTTTTCTAGTGAACATTCATATCGAAATAAACAATCAGCAAATCGAATTGATAAAAATATACCTATAAAAGGTCATTTAGACAAAAAAATTATTATAGTATTAATTTATTATTATTTATAGATCAAGCAAAAGAAAATCAAAAGCCAATTGATCAGGTTAGATTGAACAAATGAGAGAAATAGTTGAATGAAATTTCAATTTTCGAAATGTAACATTGTCTGTGTTAATAAATTCTACTGTCCATTTCAAATACAAAGGCGGGTGGGTATTTTTTGATAGGAACAAGATAGAGAGCTGCGGTTTTCACCGTTAGAAAAAGCAGAGAAAGATGCATCAAAACCTATCTTGAAAGATTTCTATAACTACTTCCCAAAGACTGCCTTTTTTCACACGTGAAAAAATACGATTTTTTATCAAAACATCATAGAAACTCCTATTTTTTGCATGAAAAGTGGGTTACCAAAGTGTTTTTTTATCAATGAAAGATTGATTTAGTGGTAGTCATGAGTAAAACCTTCACACAGTTTTGTAGTTCCTGATCTGGCGATTCTAAAACACTCGCGAAAATGCGAGACATACTATTTGTCCAAGAGTTTCCTATGACAGCCTTTGGGAAGTAGTTAGAGAAATCTTTCCAGATAGGTGTTGATGCATCTTTATCTGCTTTTTCTAACGGTGAAACCCGCAGCTCTCTATCTTGTTCCTATCACAAAATATTCGAAAAATACCCACCTGCCTTTTGTTTTCCAAATGGACAGTAGTTCCTTTGACTATTTAGTACAAAGATGAAAGACTCGTTTTTTTTTATAATAGACAAATGATGAAGAAGTTGATACTATGCAAGCAGATACACAGAATTATTCACAATCCGCAATAAACAATGAAATAACAACTGAACAACCGCCGCCTTCAGTTGATACTCAAAATACGTTATCATCAACTAATGTATAATTAAAAACAATATTCATATTTCATAAGAATATATTTATCTGTATATTTTAGCCATTTGTAATTCCACTACCAGTCGCTCAACCAACGTTAATTGATGAAAATATTATATCAGTTGAAAAAGGTAATAACTATTACCTATTCTATCTGATAATTATGTTGACTTGTAAATATAGATTCAATGCCGGTACAATCACTAACTCATGAAGAAGTATGAATTGCTTGTAATGTTGATTTTTTAGAATTGTATATTTAATTATATTGATAGGAAAATAATGTAACTGAATCGACATCAAAATCAACAACGGTTTACAATCATATAAATCGAACTTTCGAATTATTTTTGCTTTTTCTTTTAATTAAGGATATGAATACATCTGGACTTGATATATCAACAACGAATAATAGTAAAAAATTTCGTTTATTTTTTTCATTTTAATTTATTTATCTAGATTTACGACTTTATATTTCACCATCAACAAGTCTTCTTGACACAACAAATGCGGATGATACACAGTAAATATTTCCCTTATTCATCTAATTTACTTTAATAATTTAGTCATAGATCAAATCCTACAACTGCAGTAACAACAGAAAATAATGATAATGATCATCAAGAAGAAGGTTAATAATACAAAAAACGATAAACATACATTCTACTATCATTTATAGAATTAAAAGAAGAACCAATGGATACAAACGATGCACAAGTTTCTTTAGGTAGTGATGGTGTTGTTGAATCACATCCTATTTCTACGCGTACTATTGAATCTACTTCAGTTATAGAAAAATCTTCCAAAGTTCAAATACCTATTCAAAGTACAATCTCTGTTCGTATATTTTCATTGATTATAGAAAATTTTTCAATACAAAAAAAATAAAATTTAGACATCACCTAATTCAAAAGCTGTATATTCATTAAGTCAACCAACAGCTGATAAATTTGAAGCACTTCTTGCTAAATTAAACCCCACAACAGTTGAAAATGATGCTGAATCTAATATAACAATTGTAAGAAAATCTTTTTTTATAGACTTAATTCTATGAAAATTATTTAGCGAGAAGAAGAAGAAGTATATATTAAAGAATCAATATCAAAAACATTACGTCGTTACGCAGTAAAAGTTGATCAAAAAGGACGAACTGTTTCACGTGAATTAATTCTTGAAGTAAATTTTTTTTCTAAATAAATTCTATTTATATATAGAAGATTTCTTCTTTTATAAAATAGCGTATCGTTGAAGAAAACACAACAACTCGTATAGAATCATGGCCGCCATCAGAGAAAAAAACTGTTCGTACAACTGCTAAAACCACGCGACCTACTGAAACTACTCGAAAAAAACCAGCCAAAATAGTTACACCAAAACGAAAGACAAAAAGTTTGTAAGTATTATGAATTTTATATGACCATTTCTACTATATTCATAATTATCTGAAACATGATCAATAATGGATCAATGCTAAGAAGCATATTATGATAAAGGATAAAACATGGCATTGAAAACTTTTCTTCTCGATTTCTACATTTGTTCAATTCCTGATCTATGTACAAAGAATTTTTGATTATAACATTCATAAATATTCTCTAGTAATTATTAATATGTTTATTTATTATAGAAAACCAACTTCAACTATTGTTCGTCAGAAAAAGTTGCAAATTACACAAAGGTAAGATTAGAATTTCATAGAAATATATTAAATTTATATGATTATGTTTTAGTGATGATGATGAAGTGATGAAACCAAATAAAAATGATGATACTAGCGATGATGATGAGGTTGTGAGAAAACCAAATAAAAATGATGATAGTAGTGATGATGATGATGATGATGATGAAAATACAGAAGATGATGAACCAACAGATGATATTACTGGTGAGGAATTTATTCCAACAAATTCGTCTGGAAAATTATTAACAAAAGGTTTACGAGTTTTTGCTAAATGGACTGATGGTCATTTTTATTCTGGTAGTATTGCAAGTATTAACGGTGAAAGGTAATTATTGAAAACAAAGAATCATTCTTTCCCTCTAATTCAATATATTTCTTTTGTAGATATATGATTAAATTTGATGATGGCGCTTCACGTTATCTTAAAGCACAAGATATTATATCTCAAAGTTATTTAGATATAAATCAAAATATTATGGCACAAACTCAAGATGGCTATTTTGAACGTGGAATTATAAAACGTTTAATTAAAAAGAAAAAAACAGGAAAATTAGGTTATATTATTGAAAAAGATGGAAAAGAAAAATGGTATCCATTACGTTTTATTTCATTATCTACGGAACAAGCTGAACAATTCATAACTACAAATAATACTACAGAAGGTAAGTGATTCGTAATAACTTTCAAAACTAATTATATTGTTTTAGAATCGACTAATATTGTTCAAGGAAAACGTAAACGAGCATCAAATGTACCACAAACACCAAATAAAAAAACGAAAAGTTCCATTTTTCCATCACCAAGTAAAAAGCAACGAACGAGTAAGATAATTAACAATGATTTTGTATTATAAAATCAATTTATTTCTTAGCTTTTACACCTACACGTCAAACAAAATTATTTAATTCGATGTATTTTCTTCTTACGGGTTTTAATGGTAGGATATTACTCTATATTTTATTCTTCGTCTATTTAAAGTCTTATTTCTGAATAGATTTAATGGAAATTCGACATGGTATTGAAGATTCAATTGAAAGTCATGGTGGAAAAGTCATTGAAAAAATGCCAAATGCTGTATGAATAAAATATTTCTTCGATCTATAAAATTTCTCTTTTATTTATATAATTAGAATCGACGTGAAAATGTTTATTTAATATCAGATAAAGCACGTAAAACAGCGAAATTTTTGGATGCAAAAAAGAATAATATTCCTTGTGTCGATTATAAATGGATTAATGAATCTATTGAAAAAGTAAATATATTGAAATGATTTAGAATTACCAAAACAAAATAATTGATTTAATTTTAGAGTGAAATTCAAGATTCGGATGCATATAAATTAGTTTTCATAGAAAAAGAAGTTACAATCAATGAAGATTAAAATATGGGTATTATTATGTCAGATTTGTTTTCTAAAGATATACAAAATCTATTGTGTATTCATATTTTTTTGTATATTGTTATATATATATCTTATTGATGTCAAGTTAAAATAAATGATTAATTATGTTTAATGGCTGAATTTAATTATATATTAGGAAAAGAGAAATATCTAGTAAATGAATATAGGAATCCATATAATTTCTTCAAATGTGTGTTGAACTATTCAGTTCTTTGTTTTTATTATTGTATTTACGAAAAGTGATCGTACTCATACTAAAATAATCTACAGTAATAAAGATAGTTTTTCCGTTGCATTATCTGACATTTCCTATTCATATGCTCATAGTATGATATTATGTTTAGAAAAACATTGACAAGTGCTTATTAGTTATGTCAGTAATATGATTAGTTTCTAATCAAATCATGAACAAAGACTAGTGATGGGTCAAATTAGATGTGCGTGTAAAGTTTTATTTGGTAAATGTCACGTCTTGATGTTCAATAAAATACGATCTTCGGAAACGGTATCTTTATTGCAGATGAGAAGAGGAAACGAAAGATGAAAAGATATATTTATAATACATACATATAACGACAGCTATATATATGTGTATGAGTTGGACAAAACCATAACAGAAAAAGGAAAGACATCATGACGCACATGATACACTTAGAAAATATGGATAATTCTATTATCATACTCTGATAGATGATATGGAATATTCTACTACGTCATAGTAAATATTCATATTTTAATAAAAAAGTTAGATGATTGGGATTGTTAAACGTAAGTAGAATTTTTTCTATCGACCGAAATATATTTTTATCTTAATAAAAGAATATCTCAATGTTCTTCAGGTGACCCTAGATACTCAAATGCGTAAATGGATTTTTATAATCAGTTAAAATCTTTTTTTATTTATCGTCTATTTTTGAGATTAACCTTAAAAGTTTTAAATCAAATATTTAGTAGTTAAATTTCATTAGATATATTTATTTTACTCTTCGATCTCTATTGTTTGTTGATCATAACATTCATGATAGCATGCTTTAGTATTTACACTGATACACAAGTATATGTTATTAATTAATCCATGTTTATCCTCTAGTAATTATTATGCATACAATAACACAATTAAAAATACATAATTTAATGAAAGATATTATATACTCTTATTGTAAGTTATGGGATGATGCATAAACGTAAAGAAATATAATTGTTTTTTTCTAATCTTCTTGATTAAATTTGTTTATATCAACAGAATTTCATCATCATCAAAAACTTAATAGGATGATTCGTTGATGAAAGGATGTTTCTGTTCAACTTTCTATCGCGAGAAAGAAGTACTCTTTGAATGCTGTATCATATAATAACATAACTATTGTGTCTCTTTATTAATTATATACGCCAATCTAAATCAATTACACAAATTGTTATATGTATATGTAGAGAACACTCTTATAGTACAAAGTGAAATTCACATCTTTAACCTTAGGTTTTACATAATGAACTTTATTACTGCCAAAACTAAGTTCATATTGGATCTACACAGAATATATAATAGTAAAATTCTATGAGTAACACACATTTTTTCATGTCTTCTTCTAAATGTAGTACATCATTTGAAAAGATAAAGAATCCATGATTTTTCAGTATTTTGCCCAGGTTGGTTATTAAAAATAAGAGTCTTACGTATAACTCCATAGATACGATTTTTAATTTGAATTAGTTCTCTAAAAATAGCAATATGATCTATACGATTAGATGGTGTTAGAGTAATTCTACCTTTTACATAAAGATAAATAATAGTGAGCTCATGTTTTATTAATTAGTATTGATATTTTTCTTCATTTATTAACAAGAATCAATGAATTATTATCTTTCAATAGTAAGAAGTTAGTTTTGATGTTATCGAATTTCTATAGATTTATGTGTTCACATATGAGACAAGAATGCATTCTGCACATCTATTACGCATTTTTCTAAAAAAAACATAATACTTGAACTATGACATACATGTTTCTTCTATCATTAAATCTAAAAAGATGCTTATCTGTTAAATAATTTTGCATAATCAGGATATTCTCTTTTCAGGCGATTAAAATCTCTTGTAAAAAGCTCATCAAAAGATTTTTTAATAAGAAATGAATCAACAACACAAGAACAATGGTATTTTTGTGTATATTTTAACAGATCACATTGAATATATAAGGTGGCAAGTTGTAAATTGGTACTAATTGTAAAGCTTGGAAGTCTTAGTATCTGAAAATTATTATAGAATTAGTTTTAATAAATATATATTCATACTCTACAATATTAAATGCTGAACAGAAAAGAAGGAGAATCAGAGGTTTATAGACGTATCGATGTCATTAATCAGAAGAACAGAATCATATACGCTATTCGCTCCATTACCGAAATGTAAGATAAAATTGTGAACTCATTTTGTCTCCAAGTAAAAGTATATATTAATTCAAAAACAAGCATCAAGAAAGACTAAATATTTTCTCGTTTTCTCCATCTGATCATTCAAAAGTAACGTATTTAGTTTCATCTTGTTTAATCACAAATATGTCTATTTTGACATGATGCTTAAAAACGATAATAACTAATGTTTTTTGGAATCCATTACAGATAGTCAAAAACAATACAAAAATAATTGTAGTTAAAGAGTTTCTCTTATATTATAGTTTGTAGTAGATTAAATTAAAATAGACGCATTCTATACACATTATCCATACTATATCTGAATCCTGTCATATATTTTATTGACAAAACGTCATTCATGCTCTAAAAATTCTTCTCAAGGCCATTCTTAACACAAGACTCCGATCTGGAATCAACATAACTAACCAGTGTATTCTCCTGTCAGTTCGTTCAGTATTAATTTACTTGGAAGTCTCATATTTTTGAAAAGTACCTATAATACGGGTTAATAAAGCTACGTCTACCAATAACCAATAGCAGCAATTTGTCTTTTCTCTTTTTTGATTATTTTCTTTACTATGAAACATTCACGACAATTTCCAACGATGCATGAAAGTAGATTTCTTTTTCTCCATTCTTTTGTAACATTGTGGAGTATGAATACATATTTGTTGAAAGTTAATACTGCAGAAATTTTGCCACGTTCTTTATTCAAAATCATGTTTTCTAAAACTTTTTACTAAAGATTAAAAATGAGATGTATTTATATTAATCATCGTAGACGAATTGATCTTCATCTGACAGGAATTAGTCACATACGTCATCCAGAAAATCTTTTTTCAGACTATATTTTTTTTTCTATTCAAAAAAGTCATTAAAGATTAACTATCAAGCATTGAGTAACTCCAAATATGCCAAGAAATTAGTCATGTCATAATACAGTAGTACTATATAAAGTCTAGGTCAATGTTTGTCTAACAAAGTTCAATAGCTTTCAAATAGTTCGTGTAGTAATATTTATATAAGTTATTTATGGAGCAAAAACTATTATTATAAGAACCATTATTGACATTTTTTTGAAATGAATCGCTAGAATAATAGATCATAATGGAAGTTTGATTGCAAAAATAATACTTGTTCGTTGATAACTAATTCAATATTTGTAAAATTCTATACTGAAATATCAAAGTATATAAACAGTTTTAAATATAAGATTTTATGTTGTATTTCTCATTTGCTTCAAATCAAATTTTGCTTGGTTTGCACTTCATAACTTGACATGATTATTAGAATATGCAGAAATTACTTTGAAATTTATCTGTCCTTAGAGATTTAGCACTCCATTTCTATAAATTAATAAGCAAAAATGACGACTTAGATATACAAAAGGAGAGTATAATTAAACAAAGGATATGTCACGTAGTAGACTGACAAGAAAGAATAGGATGAAAAATCCTTTATTCCTAGAAAATGACGCATTTTTTTTTGAATAAGTACTACTGCTTTTATTGAGAAAAACACAGCAGAATGAATGACAAGCATTTTCGAATATCCTTTCCCATTCTTCTTGATAGAATCAAATGTTAGATAAATGATGTTCAGATGTATAGTTATGCGTAGTTTGTCATCACTTTTTCTATAATTTAATTAGAAACGATAGTTACTGTATAATGAATATATGTGACATAATTAAATCATGCTGTTTAATTAATATCATTGATAAAGTAATGAAAAAAAAAATTCATTTTATTACAGGAAATACATGAGCTCAAACGTGATTATCTCAATTGCGTATTGGTTTTTTTTCTAAGAATTATTATATACGCATCTTATAATCTATTTAAGCGCTAATATTTAACATTTATAAGCTCCATTCAGAAATGCGTCTTTCAAAGTGTTTAGCTTTTTTTTCATAAACTATCTACCAGTATTTTTTCTTATAAGACAGAGCCCGTTTTTTGATTGTATTAAAATAGAATCGAGACAGTACATATCTTAAGTATTTTCTTTACTAAGATTACTGTCATATACCCTCAAGTTTTTTTGAACTCAAACAGGCACGTACATGTCTCAGCTGCGAACTTATACTCGTGAAAATAATTTTTTAATATAGAAAATTCATGTATCTATTTTTGGATTTTTTAGATTTTATATAATATTTTATAATTAAAAATTTTTCATTAGTGATTTTCAATTTAATTATTCAAGAATATTCACAAATGGTGGTTACAAAAATTGTATTGTATTCATTGACTGTTATATTTGATCTCACTGGAGTATGTGTTACAATTATTTTATTTTTAACCATGTTATGTCGTCGATCAATTGTTAAAGCTGATAGAGTTAGCTATTTATTGCTTGCTAATAGTTATATCGCATATCTTGTAGCCAGTCCATTTTTTGCTGAAATGAGTCTTAATTCTATATATGGTCAATTACATCCAAATAGTTCATTTAATGTAAAAAGCTGTGTTTTTAAATCATATATTATATATGTTAGTGGATGTGTTTATTTTCATTCATATTTACTTCAAGCTATATATCGATTATGTCGAATTGTATATGCAACACGACTTCAATATCAATCTTTTCGTATTTATGCAATTCTTTCTATTGGTCAATGGGTGTTAGCTGCATTAATGTTATTACCAAGTTTATTAGCTGGTAGTATTGAATATATACCTCATGAGCATCATTGTCAAATTGCGGCAACAAATCTACTTGGATCATTACTTGGTTTATCATTTCTTTTTTTAATACCATTTGTTTCAACATTGATCTTATATTTTTATACAATACATTATGTTCATACAAAAACCACAGCATTACATGCTATTAATCATCATACAAGTATTCGTCGAGATCTAATTATTTTATCACGTCTTATTATTCTTTTTACGTTTATTAGTACAGTAGCTTTACCACATGTACTTATGCCTATTTTTTATGTTTTAACTAATTATCTTCCAGTTTGGATCTCAGC